TATAATAAGCACATTTTCACTATATAATCAATAGAGCCCCACCCCAACACCAGGACCCCTGACCCTGGGGCCATAAAATTCACAATTTTGGAAGAGGCACTCTTGCTCATCATAACTATGTACTTAGTTTATTTAATACCCAGGAGCAGAGAAGATTTTCAAAGAATTCGTGCATTTTCACTATATGATCAATAGAGCCCCGCCCTAACACCGGAACACCTGACCCTGGGGCCATAAAATTCAAAATTTTGGAAGAGGCACTCTTGCTCATCATAACTATGTACTTAGTTAGATTACTTAATACCAAGGAGCAGAGAAGAAGATTTTCAAAGAAATAATGCATTTTCACTATATAATCTATATAGCCCCACCCTAGCACTAGAACCCCTGACCCTGGGGCCATGAATTTCACAATTTTGGTAGAGGACTCAATACTCATTACATTCATGCTAACAGTTTGCCTGCTTGATGTCCAGGAGTAAGGAAGAAGATTTTTAAAGATTGCAATAATTTTAGTGGTTTTGGTCCCACCCCTCAGGCCCCAGGGGGTGGGGACCATAAAATTCATAAATTTTGTTCCCCTTCACCCATAGATGCTGTATACCAAATTTGGCTGAAATTGGTTCTGATCAGTGGTTTCAGAGAAGAAGCTGAAAATGTTCAAATGTTAACACACGGCACACGACGCACGACAACGGACGAAAATGGATAGCAATTGGTCACCTGAGTTACTCAGGTGACCTAATAAGCAGATAAAAGCATTCAAGCTAGAAATGATTTCCTGTGGCTAATTAATACATTGGCATGTTTTAAGTAAACAAAGATACTAATCTGTGTGCATTGAATAAATAAGTATGATATTCATATCCCGTTTAATAAAACATATATCGGAAATTTTAGAATGAATTTTCTCAAATCCTTCTTGTAGGGACAAAAATTTTGTTGGGTCAAAAAATGGGGATGATCGATTTTGCGGGTGAAAACAGTAACACACCGCTGGTCATTATGAGTGGTGGGTGAGAGCTCAGTTTTGCAGGTGTGACCGACCGAATGCGGGTCACTTGGCAGGTCTGCTGTTCAAATTTCCACCTTGTACTATCTATTGTAAATCCACGGGTCATAATTTGAACAATTTAAAATCTACACTACCCTGGGATGCTTTAATTTGCAGAAGTTTCAGCTTTTCTGGCCCAGTAGTTCCCGAGAAGAAGATTTTTTTTTAAAGACGTTTCCTATATATTTCAATGTAAAACCTGGGTTCCCTATTGTGGCCCCACCCCACCCCGTGGGTCATGATTTGAACAATTTAGAATCTACACCATCCCAGGATGCTTTCACATAATTTTCAGCTTTTCTGACCCAGTAGTTATTGAGAAGAAGATTTTTTAAGATCTTTCATATATAGTTTGATGTAAAAATGGATTCCAAATTCAAAAAAACAAAAGTAAAAATGTGGAGATAAAAAAGTTCTGAATCTATATACTTATCACTTTTATAACTAGAAGGTTCCAAGGAACACATGTGTTGCCTGCTTTTAGCTTCTTTATTAAAGATGTAAATATAGCAGACATTAAAAACTGCTACTGCCTAGCTTTTCTAGTGATAGCGGTAGATTCCCACTCTATTTCAGTGGATTTCAGGTGAATTATCGACAAGCCTGTTTAACACTTGTATGGGTGACTGCTTCACATTACATATTAAATAGATTTAAGAGTGGTCAGCTATTCATATGCTACTAGCATATAAAGTATTTCATGCAAAAGAGAAAAAACATGTCAGCATGATAGTTCATAAATGTGCAAAAAAACATTCATGCATAGTATAATACTGGGATAGAGTCTGTCAGTCAAAAAAAAAATGATTTCCAAACCTCATATGAATAATTAAGTTGATACATGTATATTCATCATTTTACATGTGTTAAAACTTGTTTCAAAGTCTTTACACCAATTGTCACTTTACAAGATTCATTGTGAGATCCCGATCTCAATGTGTTTTCATAATTTTCATATATCAGTTTGTGTGGTTACTGAATATCATACAGTATCAAAGAACAGTATTATGAGCTCATAAACATGTATAAACGTTAATTATTAACACCCGCCACTCAAAATTCAAAAGTCTAAGGTTAAATTAAATTGTTCTTTGTAAAGTACATCAAACGTTAAGGTCAAGTGAATTGTAACAGTGGTATTTTTATGTGCCGAAATTTTTCGGGGCGTATATTTCTTTTGTCCTGTCTGTCTGTTTGTCTGTCTGTTGTCAAACTTTAACCTTCGCCATAACTTTTGAACCGTGAGAGATAGAGACTCCATATTTGGTATACATACTCCACTAATGAAGCACTTTCAACTGACACCAAGGTTAATGACCTTATGACCTTGACTGTGACTATAAGCTAAAAATAGCCTTTCGAACTTTCACCGTAATTTTTTAACCATATGAGATAGACACTTCATATTTAGTATGCATACTCCACTAATTAAGTTCTAACCTACAATGTATATGCTAAAAGTAGCTTTTTCGAACTTTCGCCACAATTTGTGAACCATAAGAGATAAAGACTATATATCTGGTACGCATACTCCACTAATTACATGTAAGTGCTTTCAAATGAAACCAAGGACAATGATCGTGTGACCTTGACTATGACCTATTTGCTAAAAACTGCTTTTTATACCCGCACTTTCTAAAGAAAGTGTTACTCATGTCCGTCCGTCCGTCTGTCACACTTTTCTTCAAACACATCTTGTTCCTACATTTTACACAGTAGCTTAATCATCTTTTGGGAGATGGTTGGTGGTGTCATGTAGATGTGCAGTAAAAAAATTGGCACTTTTAATTTTTTAGTAAAGTAGGCCAAAAGACAAGTTTTTTATGCAAAAAGTCCCGTCTTCCCTAACTTTTCATTTTATTCAACAGCCTAATCACCTTTTGGGGGATGATTGGTGGTGTCATGTAGATGTGCAGTAAGGTTTCAATTTTGATTTTGCCCGGTGTGGGGACAAAATCGAAAAATGACGTTTTTTATGCAAAAAGCCCCGTCTTCCCTTAACTCATTCTACATTTTACACAGTAGCCTAATCATCTTTTGGGAGATGGTTGGTGTGCAGTAATGTTTCGGAATTTAGATTTTGCCCCGGGGGGTCAGATAAAAATATTTGCCGTTTTTATGCTAGGTAAAAGCAGGTGAATTATCGCCCGTCTTCCCTTGATACTTCTCTTACATTTTACTCAGCAGCCTAATCATCTTTTGGGAGATGGTTGGTGGGGTCATGTAGATGTGGAGTTAGGTTTCGGAGTTTTGATTTTGCCCCGGGGGGTCAAATGAGTGTTTTGAAAGGGTTACAATATGGTTGCAATATTTGAAAAGCTGTTTTTTTCATGCAGAGATATGCATGTGTGATGTATTCATGTTTTATATTTTCTTTAGTAATTTGTTTGTTTGTTGTGAAACATCTCTCTCAGGAATTTTTCCCTCATATGGAGACAGCACCAAATAATAATGAAGACAAGATGTGTTTGTGAAACACTGATGTCCCTGTATGGAAGCCTATGGCGAAGGTTGAAGTTTCTCAAATATATGTCAAACTCAAAGGTCAAGGTCAAAGGGTTCAAATTGTTGATATCAGAAGAAAGTCTTGTCACAAGGAATGCACATGTGAAATAAGTAATCCCTAGTACCTGTTGAAAAGTTAATTGCCAAGGTTAATTTTTTTTTAAGTGGTTCAAACTCTAAGAGACTCAAACATATTTAAACCTGTTGACAGTTCACAATGAATACAGTACATGTTAAGCATGAAAGCCCTAGCACCTACTGATCAAAATTTAAGCCAAGTTTAAGGTTTGGTATTTTTCTTGTAAAAATGTGTATCCTACTCCCGAAAAAAAATTCTGGATCCACACCAGTATTGGCAGTAACAAAATGAATATTAATCCAATGCACACCAGACTGCAGCATGACACTGCTACATTTAATGCTATTCCATTCGGCAAACCTTCTGCCGTGAGACCTTATCAGATGCAGTTTGTGTGCCGAAATATATAAAAATTAAAATATATAATGGGTGACGCAACGTGATGTGATGTAGAAATTTACATGTTAACATGTATAGTACAAGAGCAAATTTTAGAATTAATTCATAACAAACGATGTTTTAACAAAACTGTTCCATCTAGCCTATTCCAAAACGTATGTGCTGTGTGATTGTGATGTCGAGAGGGGGGGGGGGGGATTAGTAAATTTGAAAAGGTCCTCAGCAATTATGAGCACAACATTTATCAAAATCTAATTTACATCATTAATAGAATTCAAATTGGTATATAATGAATTAAGCATGTAAAATAAATATAAGAGGTTCAGAGTTATAGGTCATAGGGAGAATTTCATACTCAATTTGATGAATACACTGTACATGTAAATTATATAGAATCTATTTTGACTTTTTCCTTGGAAAGTTTCTGCTATCAAAATGTAGGAGCGTGTATTTAGAGGCAAACACCTTAGTGCGGGTATTACTGTCTCATGACAGCATCTAGTTAGAACTTTGTTGCCGCCGGGCGCATAGTGTTTCACAAACACATCTTGTTTATAATGTTTTATGAAGTCAGCGAACATGCTAAACTGCACAGAATTATCTCTTAAATGTCAAAAAAAATTGGCACTTTTAACTTTTTAGTAAAGTAGGCCAAAAGACAAGGTCAAGGGTCATAAGGCCGGTTACCATAACAATTTTCAAATATCATAATGCCAAACTTTTGATATGTGCAAAATATCAAGTCCATATCTCTTACAGTTCTTGAGATTCAAGGTGTGAAAGACGGATAGAAATCTAGACAGATGCCGGGTAAAGTGATCCCCTGGTGCCACTCTGCTCTGCAGCTGACACAATAAATGCTCCCATTTAGTCTTAGCGACAAAATTACTCTATTTAGACTTCCACTAGATAAAAATATTTGCCCTTTGCTGGGTAATTAGGGTAAGAGTTGATATTCCTTACATTCTGTGGTGGTGCTGGTCATCTCTACTGTTGTGGAGATATGGGCTGCTGGCTTATCAGGTCTAAAATGGTACTGTCTCTCTTCTCCAGTCACCAAATCACAGGGCACCTCCTACAAATTCTGAACTTTTTAAAAATGGTTTTAAAGTATGTGTGATGCACATGCAATACTCATTAATTCAAAAGAAATGACAAATACTGTATTTTTAGCTTAGCCAAGATCCAGCTGAAATTAAAAAAAACAAGAGGCCCATGGGCCACATCGCTCACCAGAGAAGCTTTGACCTTTCTGTTCTTTACCAGATTTCCCCCTTTTAATACATATTGCAACCTCACCCTACCCCACTGATAATAATTTAGACATTTTGAAATCTACACTGCCACAGGGTGCTTCAATGTGCAGTAAGTTTCAGCTTTTCTGGCCCAGTGGTTCTTGAGAAGAAGATTTCCAAAGATTTTCCAATGTATTTCAATGTAAAACTTTGATTCCACATTGTGGCCCCGCCCTACCCCCGGGGGTCAGGATTTGAATAATTTAGAATCTACACTACCCAAGGATGCTTCCACATAAGTTTCACCTTTTCTGGCCTAGTGGTTCTTGAGAAGAAGACTTTTAAAGATTTTCCTATATATTTCTATGTAAAACTTTGATTCCGCATTGTGGCCCCACCCTACCCCCGGGGGTCAGGATTTGTATAATTTAGAATCTACACTACCCCAGGATGCTTCCACATAAGTTTCACCTTTTCTGGCCCAGTGGTTCTTGAGAAGAAGATTTTAAAAGATTTTTCCTATATATTTCTATGTAAAACTTTGATTCCCCATCGTGACCCCGCTCTATCCCCGGGGTCATGATTTGAACAATTTAGAATCTACACTACCCCAGGATGCTTTCACATAAGTTTCAGCTTTTCTGATTTTTTAATAATCCCAACCTATTTTTGTCTTTTCTTGATTATCTCCTCTTGTGAGGGGACTTGGCCCTTCATTTTAATAATTTAAATTCCCCTTCACCAAAGGATGCTTTGTACCAAGTTTGGTCAAAATTGGCCCAGTGGTTCTTAAGAAGAAGTCGAACATGTGAAAAGTTTACAGATGGACAGACAGACGGACAGCTAGACGGATTAGTGACAAAATGTGATCAGAAAAGCTCACTTGAGCCTTCGGTTCAGGTGAGCTAAAAACTAGGAGTTGCCCAGAAGAAAACAAGCTTGGAATATGATGGAAAATTAACAACTTATCATTTTCTCACATTTTCTCTACATTTGTTAAATACTTCCACTGCTAGCAGTCTAAGTGGTCCACAATACACGCCACTTTCAGCATTCATGAATGACTTCAATGCATGATAGGTCTTCCCACTATTAGTAGGCCCACTGTGAAAAATAACTTTTCTTTTCATTCTACGAGCTTCAGGATACCTGAAAAACAAATTAAGAGTATACATTTGACTATGTTTTAAAAATGTTTTAAACAGAAATATAGCATTCCACATAAAATTGTCTATTTCCCTGAGAGGAGACTATTTCCTTCATATGAAGACAACTCCCTGAAAAATCAGAGCTACTCCCTGGGAATACTCCAGCATGAATATTTATCAATAAATTTCACCAATCAAAAATCAGACAATAATTCTTCAAAATGTAAGTGAAATCATTTTTAAAAAAAAAATTTTGTCCTCGGTAATGATGCATACTGTATAAGTAGAAATTTTAGCGAGGATTTAATTTTGGCATTTTTAGCGAGGGTTCTGAGATCGCTAAAATTACATATCGCTAAAAATTTATTGTGTTTTATTTGTAATAGGTTCTTTAATGAACTTTAAAATCGCTAAAATTACATCACGCTAAAAATTAAATACCAGTTCTTAAGGACAAATCGCTAAAGTTTCCACTTATACGATATTAAGTCATCTTACAACTTTTTGAACCATATGCATTTGTGATTACTGTTAATCGCTTTTTATTTGCTGGTTACGAAATTTTAATTTCCATGTATAATAGTATTCCTTAGGATTACTGTAGAAGCACAAATTTTCGTGGGCATAAAATTTCGTTGTTTCGTCTTCAAAAATAATTTCGTGGGCATTTAATTTCGTTGTTTTGAAAGTAACCCTATTCAGTATATAGTCATAAAAAGTTTCGTGTGGGATTTAATTTCGTTGAATATTGTAAACAACGGATTATATATAGCATTACATATAGCATTATTATACATGTACCTCTACTGTTTTTTTCCTATAAAAAAATTAGGCAGTAAAATTTGAATATTTCAATTTCCAATTGTTTTCTCTATGATAAACACTACAAAACTCCATCTTGCTAATTTCGTGGTAATACCTGTGGTATGTCTATTTCTCTACTGAAATACTACTGGAAGGTCAAAAGTCAACCTGCATGTATATGAGTTGAGTACAAATACACTGAAGAAAAAAATAGATGTTTGTTTAATTGTTAACTAAGTAATTAGATCTAATACATCTTTTTACAAACAAAATAAATAATGAATTATCTTCGGATCAAAAGCAAGTCGCTAGCGCAACGCTGTCTACTATCAGCGAGAAGTCCACTTCCGTAAACAGCCTATCTGGAGCACGTGGAGAAATTGGCACAGCCACACTCCTGACTCCATCATCTGATACAGACATCGGCCCTCAGTCATTACCAACCGACTTCGTAAGCAACTCAACTTCCTTTGCTATTTTAACATCCGTAAGCAACTTCACTTCCTCTGCTAGTTTAACATCCACACAAATCGGTTTCCTGACCCACTCCCATTTCATCAGCTGCAACATTGCATTCAATATGGTAGCGGACAAGTGGCCTTGGGCCTATACATGTGTTTGTGCTTCCGACAACCTAAATCTAGGTCACATATATAATTTATGTTAAAAAGATTGCTTTGATCTTATCTTAAAATATTTTTGTTGTTTATTTCATAATTGTTGATACAGTAAAATTCGGTTATAGCGAAGTCCTGGGGACCTGTGAATTTAATTCACTATATCCGTAATTCGTCATATCCGTATAACGAATTCGTATAACCATTATAGCAAATTTGCAATATGCATGTTTTCCTTCAGGTATTACTACCAAATATGTTAGGGAAGCAAATATTACAAAACATATCTTCGATAACTAAGGTTTTATTATGACAAAGTCAGTTCAATTTATCAAATTTTTTATAATCTTTGAATGTTCGTTGTAAAAGATGTAAATTTCATTATATTTAACCTCAACGGGACTCAAAATCACTTCGCTATATCCGAAAATTCGTTATATCAGAGTTCATTATAACCGTAAAAATTTACAAAGATTTGTTAAGAATTTTGCAGGGGACCCAGAAAACGTTCGCTATATCTGTGAATTCGCTATATCCCTGTTCATACTAAACGAGTTTTACTGTATTTGACAACAGTAATTTAACAATTATTCAATTTGTTTCATGTTTTATGGGACTATTTTTTTATAGTTAAATTTGACGTCATGGGGCGGGGCAATGGAAAATAACTTCGAATGCCTCGTGCAGTTCAAATCAAGTAACTAAGATGGTATTTTGATTTATCTTAATATTGTTATTTCAAATTATCCCATGTTTCCCACTACTGTTGATGGCCTTGCATAGTCTCCTAACTAGACAGTAATTCCTTAAATAATTCCATAGATATCTCTGTGAATGGACTAATCCCTGTGCGTTAGTCCATACATGTTAACTCTACTGATTTAGGCTGGAGTCTACTGCTTTTTCATTCCATCTCCCACCTACTGCTTTAATTCGAAAATCTACCACTTTTCTACAAAATATAGTGTTTCTCCTAGACTATTACATGCTATTGTGATGGCGGATAAACAGGAGAACACATAATGAATATAATTCCGCACCTTATTAGCTAACCGTTGCCTGCTACCGCTTTTGAAGCTGAATCTCCCTATTTTTTGTCCCCCGCTTGAAAAGTGGGGGATATTAATTTGGGTTTGTCCGTCCGTCCGTCCATCTTTCTGTCTGTCTCTAACGCTTTCGTTTCCACATGATATCTCGAGAACCCTTTGAGCTTTTGCAGTGAAATTTAGCATAGCAACTCCCTATGGACTAAAGAAGAACCCTTTCGATTTTGAGGTCAAAAGGTCGAAGGTCAAGGTCATAAATAAGCAAATTCTGTCTGTTATAACACTTTTGTTTCCACACGATATCTCTAGAACTGTTTGAGCTAATGCAATGAAATTCTACATAACAACTCCCTGTGGCCTAATGAAGACCCCTATTGATTTTGAGGTCAAAAGGTCAACGTTCCAGGTCGTAAATTTATACATTCTCTCTGTGTGTAACACTATCATTTCCGGGCAATACAGTGGGTCCCGTTTAAACGGATAGTCAGGTTGTCAGAATAGTTTTATCCGTATAGCCGAATATTGGAATAGCCGATTGCAATATTTGCCATACAAACGGCAGATCTACAGTACATAAGTAACAATTTCAACATGGTTGTATTACGTACCTGTACTTTCGTTTTCGTTTGATGAATGTACCAAGTAAGGAAATGAATTATTTCAAGTAATTTAATAACAAGTTCAATATGATTTTGTATGAATAATTTCTTTTTAATTGAAGTATGAAACTTATTTTCATCTTCATATATTTATTTAGCACCAGGCAACTGTTTACATTCATCCCATTCGTTGATGGCCTCCATTTTGGAAAACGGAAGTTGATTGAATACATGACTATATTACGTAAACCATTTTTTTCCGGATTGCTGATTATTAAATAAAAAAAAATGTTTATTGTTTCATCTTTATTTGTATTTGTTTTCAGACGTATATCTATATGGGGTGCATGTGATTTTAAGTCTAAAAATTGCACTTAAAAGTGAACACATATTCAACTAAATGACCAAGCGCTACCATTTAACAGAAAGTCTAATTCTGATAATTTTAATTTAATGTCCATGCAAAGTGTCATACACAAACTGAACAGTTCAATAATTAAAATTTCACACCGAACAAAATTGCACACAAGCCAATTATCAATGATCAAATTAACACCCAAGCAGGTCATCACTATTGTTATCAAAACATATCGATCTACTGTGCCCACTGCTAACACAGGTAAGGTGCTGGCGTGCGTTCAGCCGTGACTAATCCCCTCATTATCATAATTTGACTGGAAGTGTCAAACTTGTATAAACAAAGGATTTACATACAGAAGGTAGAGGTGTGAAAAAGACAATTATTATGAAAATCACTATGATAGGCGAAATTTTTGTATCAGATAAAACGAAAATCCGATATTTTCCTATCAGAATATCAGGTGAAATTATTAATAAATATATAAGAAATGGTTTTGTGCTCTGATATTGTATCAGATTAGCCGAAATATTCGTTTAACCACTATCCGATTAAATGGAATCCACTGTATTTCAAGAAGATTTTGAGCTTATGCAATGTAATTTTATACCAAAACTCCCTATTACCTCTCTCACCCCTCTCAAAGAGCCCCGCCCCATTTGTTTTATTAGTATTTATAGTATTACATGTCGCTATTTTTAGCACAGGGGCATAAGGAGAGTTATTGCGTATAAAACAGGTTCTCAGCAGACTTTATTTTCTTATTACATCTATTAGAACTGTTTAATAAAGGCTAAATAAATCAAACACCATGGATTGTGTAAAATTTTGACAATACCGAACATGAATATATACATGTATGTGACTTCACTTCTGCATATACTTGACTCCATGTAAAGCGATTCTGTGGTCTAGTGGTATGTTTCTCGCTTCCCATGTGAGAGCAGACCTGTTTACCCTTATCGTCGTCTCTCAGTATTTTTGATCAGATTTGTCCATGAGATTTAACATTTGCCAGTAAGAATTTGCTTTCCACTGTTTTTACGTATCTAATTAGAGAACAACTGCTTTTTTGGTTACTAAAACATGGTTAAATAACATGCTCTTTGTCGTGTTATACCATAGCATTTTTGGCAACTCGAAATTGCCGAAGTGCTTGAAATCTCTTTCTTTTACAGTGATTAAAGGGCGTGAAACTGAGAGAGATCATAAAGATGACTGATTGATTGTTTAATGTCTCTCTCAATAATTTTTTACTCATAAAGACGTCACCACCTGCCCATGGAGAGCTGCAAATTTTGTCCTCTACACAGCACTCAAGGCCATAGAGCAGGGAGGGGTCTGTGTCGTGCCAGCACCTATTGCGACACAGGACCCATGTTTATACGGTTTGATTTGAAGGACCGGTCTCCAAGTTGCACAAGTGGGATTCAAACTCTCGACGTAAGGAGCAACTCCTTACTGTGTAGCTCTAAGAGCAGACGCTCTAACCACTGCGCAAGCAGGCGACCAGATCAATGATTGTAGCCGTTCTAAGCCGAGCCGGCATTCTTTCAGCATATTTCAGCAGATTATAT